ATTAGTTTAATATCTGTGAAACATTCCAGACATGGAGACAAGCAGATAACAGACTCTCCACCAGAAAAGTTACATAATGCAGCTTTACATGTTTTGGCTCTAGCAGAAGCAAAACATGAACAACAAACAACTTGTATTAGGCCTACTTGTTGCAGCAGTAGTAGTAAGGTTATAGTGGCACTTGTTCAACACTATTTGAATAGCAACTTTTTTACTTGCAGATTTCACATAATTTTTCTACTTCTAGAAAACCAACAATACACAAACATCTATTCAAACTGAAGTGCCCAACAAACAATCAACTTTAGTATACTTGTAGTTGCAGGTACAGTAGTAAGGTGATAGTGGCACTGGTTTAACACTATCTGAATAACATTATTAGAAGGAGCAGTTCTTGTGCTTGAAGATTTCACATCATATTTCCACTTCTACAAACCAACAATACACAAAAAGTAATAACCACCAGAAGTTGTAGTAAGCTGTACTAGTTGTTGCAGCAGTGGCAATAAGGTTATAGTGGCTTTTGTTCAAGACTATCTGAATAACATTATTAGAAGGAGCAGTTATTTTACTTGCAGATTTCACATCATTTTTCCACTTCTACGAGCCAACAATACACAAAAGCATGTGTACAAAATGAAGCACTAAACCTACAAGATAAAGCTGAAAGCCCCCTGCTCTGTTCTCTCTCCCTCTTTTGCCTCTCTATAAAAAAACATAATTTAACCACTCGAAGCGATGATAACACGACTATGACAAACGTCCTCCGAGCGCGTTTCCTTTGTAAATCTGTCAAAAGACGCTTCACTACAGCTTTCTACAAATGTGCTATTTTTGCTAGCGCCTGTATTACCTGTCAAGTTAGCATACATTCAAGTGTCACTAAGTAGAGACACCATCAAAGCTTTTATAGATGTCCACGAAAAACAAAGAAACACAGCGCCTTATTTAGACCAAAAAAATAAAAAATAATGATTGCAGGATATTAGTGTGCGCAGTGTGACACATTTTATACATAATTCCTTTGTAGTTTCTTGGGCTTATGTGTAGCGGTTGATCATGCTAGCATCTTGGCGTGCTGGGGCTGACCTGTTGTTGATATGGTGCATATTTACTCTGTTCATGGCAGTGGAGACGCTACAGCGCAGATTCATTACTGAGTAGCCTGTGGCGACTGTCATGTGCACACAATGGAGGGGGACAAAGGCGCTAGCTAGCTCTCTCTCTCTCTCTCTCTCTATGGAGCACAGCGAGTCTTCCACACTTGTAGCCATGATAGCGCTTCGCATGTTGTTTTAATCATGCGTTCTTGGTTTGACAAGATTTATTTTTAGGTCTATTAAGGTTATTATACTGGTTTCATATTTTATTTTCATTTCATAATATTTATTTTGAGGAAGTGAAAGAAAAGTAGGCCTATTAACTACAATTCCGCTTACTTAGTAAGATTGTGGAAAAAAATTTATACTAATCATTAATACTAAAACTAGTTTAAAACTAGATACAGGAAAAAAAACACAACACACAGAATTAGGCTTTCCCTAAAAAGGTTTTCTGAAAAGAAGACCAAATGAACCTTTTTGGAATATGTTTTGAAAAGCCTTAATCTATAACTTATCAGAACTAGTAAAAGACCACATGGTAATATTAAATCATCGGATCAAAATTGAGTTTTATTTTTTTGGTATGGTGACATTCCTACTTTTTAGGTATTTTACTGGCTTAATTTTTAATTACCATTTCACAATATTTATTTATTTTTGAGTAAGCGAATGGAAAGTAGGCTATTGTTGGCACAATAGCACTTACATTTAGTATGTATGCAGAATATCTACCAAATGAAAAAGTTATTTTAGGCTACTTACTTCAATTACAATGCTTAGTTTATTATAATGATTAGCCTGGTAAAAAATAAACTTTGCATCTTAATTAGTTATTTGATAAATTGGCCACTTCATATGTATACTAATGCATTTAAGGGTATTGCAAGTGTTAAGTGTAAAACTAGTGTTAAAGTGTAAAACTATTCATATTTTGCAGTGACGTCACGCTGGGGCTGTTCTACATGTATGTGTTTTGGTGGTCACATGGTCATGTGATGCAAGACCACACTCCTTGCATGTGCTCCTGTGCATTCCCGTGCATTCGCATGCATTTGCGTGCATTCGTGTGTGCCTGCGTGAGAAAAGAGCAATACTGCGCATGTTGAATGGGCAGGGAGCCACCGAAAATTCTTAGGCTAGGCTAATCTGGAGACATGTGCCATTGAACTCGGCCCATTCACTTGAGCGGCCATGTTTAGACCCTGGTGCTTGCTGTAAAGTTATTTTAGAGGAACTTGTTTAACTGCACAAATCAGTTCACCTGTTGTAATTCTAGCTAAGTCAGCTCTTTCTGGTCATATTGTGTTTAGACAGAGTAGTGCCTACAGTTAGCTTTACATGCTCAGGGAATTTTGATGATATCAGCTGCAAAGTATCAATATATTTTTTAAAATAAATAAAAATACAACTCAAATCAACATTATGGTTCTCAATATAAACCACATTAACAGATGTAGATATTCATTTCTGTGGTGTAGTCACATAATCTTGTGCTTCACGCAATGATCTTATAAGCCTCCTTATGTCACGTGCGTATTAGTGCAAATGAGCCTGTATGAGAAATGCAACACCTTGACTCCACTCTTGCATTTTAATTTGGGTGGCATCTGTGACCAGTCCGTCTTGTCTCTGGCCCCCCAGGGAAACCCCCCAGCCTCAGCAGCAGACCCCAACACCCAAGAGAGTGCACGGGGCGAGAGAAGGGGAGGGGGGAGAGGGAGGGGGGAGCGTTTGATTGATGATGGTGTGAATTAAACAGAAAGAGATGGAGAGAATCCTTTTATCAGGCCTGAAACACGACTGGATTAAAATGTAGTTGTACAAGCTCTCTGTATAATGCAAGAGGCTGGCTGCATATCACAAGGCACCAGAAGCCAAGATGGGACCCCCCTTTGCCCCCCTTCCTCTTTGTTGTGGCCCCACCCTGGGGAAAGTTTGCTGAAGCAGGAGAAACAGGGCTGAACCGTGGGACAAAAGGAACATGTACATTCACCTATGTCAGAACAGGTCTTGCTTTTTTATTGTTCTCAACATCACAGGTTGCTACTAAAGGTAGGCGATATATCATGTTCTCAGTGATACTGCATGTTGTTATAAATTAAAGATATGCAAAATTGGAAAATCTGATTTATCTTCATATTACAATCATCTTAAAATGTTGCAAAAAGAGCTGATTAACAATAGGCACTCACCTAAGTTTCTTGTCCAAAGAAACAACAACAGTATTCATGGGAAGATGGGACCAAACTGCCAACCTGTGGATCAGTGGATCTCTGATGGTGTTTATGTCAGAAGCATGATTTAAAGGGCGTGGAGTGCACATTTTCCACTATTTCACGACATTTTGCAGTGACATCATGCTGGGGATGTTCTACATATGTTTCTGATGGTGGAATGTTTACCAAAGGCTGGCAAAAAAGTTTTAAGGCTGTTTGAAAACACAAAATAGATTTAAGCAGCACATTTTCAGGAGCCTGTCCTCAATACAAGCAATCATGGTCCTGTTTAGGTGCTTGATTTTCAACAAAAATGGTGAGTATGAGTAACCAAAAAAGCTTGTGACTGTAATTTTACATGCGAGAGACTTGTTTAACATTGTAAATCAGCTAACCTGTTGTAATTCCAGCTAAATCATTTCACGGTCTCATCATTAAAATAAAGCCCTGATCAAAACCAAATAAACCCTCAGACAGAGCACAGCCTTCAGTTAGCATCACCCCCTGAGAATGTTGATGACATCAGCTGCAAAGTATCAGTAAAGAATTACAGGACAATACTCTATCCATTTTACACACAAGGTCAAAAAGGCTTACAGTAAAAATAGCATAATAATAAATCCTGTGATGCAGTGTTGTGATGCTAGCACTGGCTAACGTCATGCTTGTCTGTTATAGCCGTGCATGTCCGAGTGACTGAGGCTGAGTGCTCCGGTGATGTTGGTGTCACTACATAATTTATTGCTCCCTTTTGCACACGGCCCCTTTGTGCACACGGCCCACTCCTGGTGCAGGTGAGAGTGCACATGTTTAGTGTAGCACATCAGTGGAGACAGAGCCCGACTCCACCTGTGACAAATGCAATTAGAGCAAAATATGCAATTACCACCATCCCCAGTCTATGTGTCCAGACAAGGACGATTTGTCAATGAGGCCCCAGTGGTGGGCTAGTGTGCCTTAGGGCTGAGGGACATTTATACAGATTATTTCCACCTTGTATTGTTCCATTACAATTCAATGCATTTTTTTCTAATCAAAATAAAAAATATGGCTGTTAATGCTATGGTTTATAAACACAGATGAGATTCAGATAAAACTCATATTAAACAACAAATTTATTTTTTCTATTCCAGTGTGCTTGACAACATAAAAAATGTAAACCAAAATCTGAACTTCTCATCAAACCACGTTTTTTTGCAACAATGACTATATAAAACGATATCAACCTATTGTTCAATAAATGTAAGATCAGCATTTTTTTTTTAATTTCATATCTATCATCTGTATATTTTTATTGTAGTATGGGGGATTTCTTATTTTTGTAATAGTGGTAACTTCTGAGCTGTAGAAGGTCAAATAATAGCTTTTTTGCCAACATGGTTCATTAAGAAAATTAATGATCATGCTTTAAAATTATTTATAAGAGTAAGTAGTGGTCCTAGGTCATACGATAAGTCGTATTCCCTCAGTTTTGATTCTATTATATTTTTAAAAATGGTTTCAATAGTAATTTTAAGATCATAACCAATTGTCATTAAACTCAAAAGTCCAAACTCTACTCCAAACTGCATGCTTTCACTGACAAAGAACTGGCTGTAGACCTCTCCAAGACTGATCACTGACTTTATTGCACACTCCTACTTGAAAATGTGTGTGAAAAATGACAGTGTGACAGTCCTACCATACAAGGATCATTTGCCAATGAGGTCCCACGCAGTGAGTTAGGGTGCATAGATAGAGCTGTGCTCTCCCCTCCCTGTCCAGAGCATGTCCTCGGGCTGAGCAAAGAGAAAGACACAGGGTTCAATAATCAAAGACAAACCTTGTGTTCAGATTGTTTCATGCTTTTGGCCTGTTTCGCTGCAGACACCACAGAGAGCTGTTATACAAGCGCTCGCAGCTAACAGTCATTACTCATACTCCGCACCGCGCTGACAGAAATAGAAATCCTGATCTCGTCATGTGACACAGGAGCACATCTGATTCGAGTAGGTTTCAAATCAAGGTGTGCAATCGCTACTGAATTTATAGAGCTTTGTTACTGACCCGAACAAGATGCACCAGTCTATCTGTTCAAGAACCATCTTAAAAATAAAAACTTGGAAAATCTTGGAAGATTTTATATATATATATATATATATATATATATATATATATATATATATATATATATATATATTATATATATATATATATATATATATATATATATATATATATATATATTTGCTTACTCCCTTTTTGTCAGGGGTTGCATCAGTGAAGCATGGACACAGTGGCTTGGCAAGTTTATTAGTCAAAAAAATATATACCTTTATTTGTCCACATAAATAAGTTAGAAAAGATGCACTGTGGAACCTTTCTGGTAGAAGTCACATGGTTGTTTCTATAGAGATAATACTGCTTTATCTAGGGTGTTCCACAGCATTAATCTTATATCTTCCATTTATTAAAGCTGTTTTATGGCTAAAAAAATATAGGCGCTTGTCTTCATGGAGAGACAGCTTTTTTAACAATGCAATACACAAAACAAAACAGAGTGCAGTACAAACAAACCAATTTCCCTCAAGAAACACAACTTTAATGCCATAATGAAGAGCATTCCAGCTGGCACTGATTACTATGAATTTCAAATACTCTGGAGCCCCGTTTGTGACCTTAATGCACATAAAAATCAAACAACTCATAGGTTGCTAACTTGTAATCCTTGTTAATTTGTTCTTAATGACAGGTTTACATAGGTCTGGCAGTGGCTGAAGTGACTATAGCCTTCCTCCTCATACCTTTTGTCCAATGTCTTTGAATGGACATGATGGATGGAGCTGGGACGAGCGAGGCGAAGGGCAGGACAATCTGAGCACTGACCTGGTTTTCACTGGAGTCATCATAAAACACAGCCCGCGTCCTGGGGAACATGTAATAACATCAGGCCTTTGGTGTAATTCACTATCTGACTGCTGTGTGGCAATATAGCAAAAAGCCATTACATTTGCCTTGTAATTTGGGGTGGGGGTCTTGAAGGGGGTGCTGGTGAAGGATTCAGGTGACTGCGGGCACGTTAATGGAGTTCTGGTGATAAGGACAGGTTTGTTTATTAGGCGTGTGTGGTGGGCCGTGGAGAGGCAGCTGAGCGAGGGGCAGGTGGGTGACGGACCGCTCATTTCACGCATATTATCCACATGCTGGCCTATGCTAAGGAAAGGTCGCACACAATGGGCTGTGTTTATGTGATGTCTGAACTAAATAAAAGAGGTGTCAATAGTTTAAAATGAACCTACTGAATATCAGTGCTATATTGGGTGTCAAATGTTTTGTTTGTATTTTTTGTCTTGTTTTATTCTAGTTTAGGTTAATGTCCTTTATATACCTTGCAGTAAAAGCCTCTATTTGTGAAACTGTGAGGCTGAAGGATATTATATGCATTCTATAAGGCCTTTTGTTGTATGAGAAGTAAGATGTATATAGAAGTATATAAGTATATTGTACATGAGATGAGAACCATGTGGAAACAACTGCATGTGACTATCCCAGAGCCATTGTCTTCTATTCTTCACCATCAGAGTGGGACAGGACTAAGCGGGTGGCCCTATCAGTTGACACTGGCATGTTCTTCAATCATGGTTCAAAATCACATATAGGCTCTGTACATTGTTTTTCACTTGTTTACCATTGATATGATGCAATTCTTATTAATTATCAGGCACTGACTGTCTCCTAATTTGGAGAGATTGCTACATTAAGATAAACAGACATATCTACTTTTCATAAAGTAATTATAATACAGTCCAAATTGAGGACAAAACAGAACTGCTACTCATGGTCATGTAATTGTAAAACATTGTATCCATACAAACTCACAAGAATAAATGGATAAAACAGAGGGCGTGTGGACCAGACTGATATTAATCTGTATAAATACACAGAGATATCATTCTGGATTTGCCAGCCAAGTCATTGCTGTGTGTATAAAACAAAAATGGGCATACGGACGAACAGTACAAACTGAGGTGAAATTATTTTTATCTGATTGTACATTTCTTTCAAAATCAAGTGCCTCATTTGTGGATAAATATTGTCCCTCATCCTCCATTTGCTATTTTGACGTCATAGACCAAAATAGTGCTGAGTAATGAGACTTTCCCTTGTGTTTACCACCCTTGATAATTTTAGCTTGTTTGTGAAAAGCAATGAGTCACTCACTACAGCAGGCAGGCGCGCGCGCAAGAAATGAGGAAAAGAAGATTTATTAATTGGTTATTTTTAGAATTCACTTAATTTAAGAGCAGCAACAAACCCTTTACTACTTTATTGTGCCAACATGTAGTAAACCAGAACCCAGTCAATTTAACAGGACCTAAAAATACAACTGTTCCACAAGCTAATACTGTGAAAAAGGTTATCTCTCCAAACATACATGCCCATAGACATTCACAAGGCCTTGAGGAGTAAATGAACTTCAAATTAAAATGTCTATTTGATGCATTATCCTAATAGGGATGGATGGGGAGAGAGGAGTCTACCGCCTTCTCATTCTTCAGCCCGAGGGGACAGACGTGGTAAGTTGTCATTACCAACTTAGCCCATCACCAAGAGCCTGTGGTAAATTCATGTTCATGCTGCTTTGACAGGTGTCTAAGACGGTTCATTTATAAGGTAATTTTACAAATGAACGTGTCTTGATGTGTCTCGATTGTTAGAAATATAAAAAAAATATAACTATAAGATGATTTTGGGGTCAAAGAAAGGCAAAAAAATGTGCATATTACAGGATTTCATGTTTTTCTGGTCTTCGTTTGGCTGGATAGTACCTGTGTTGAATATTTATCACAATTTTACACCACTTAAGAAGCAGTTTGTGAGGAATCACTGGCTGTGTCATCAATACACAAAATTTCATTAAAAATACAGGCACAATTTAAGACAAATTTCTGATACTTTAAAAACATTACCTTAACAAAAATGTTGCCCTATAAAATGTTTTGTCAAATTACAATTATTGATTAAGATGAGCTTTGACCCTTGTTTACAATATGGTTGCTAGAAAACCTTTATAGTATTATCTCTACATACATCATATATACTGCCCTAGAAGTCTAAGCAGGATTTTTAATAAAACCTTTATAATTATGTTAACATTTCAAAAAAGTGAAAGTCATATGCACTTCAGGTAGAGGTGAGTGATACTGATCTTTATCCTGATAATGATAATTAGATCATGTTTTGTATCTGAACTGAATCTAAAATCTGCTAAAATGACAAATTGTCTTGGTTGAGATTCAAATATCATGCAAAAAGTGAATTGACTAATATTAAACACATAAGAAATGTAACTTTAAACCCCTGTTTGAAAGCTTGCTGCAAGTTTTATTTATACAACATTTGAATCAGTACTATTCGAACCTTTTTGGGTTTTTTTCAAGTTTTCCTTTAATTGTACAATAGAGGCTGTCTAAGTATTCATATCTTAATATATTGTTGATATGAATTTCCCACATCTAAGCTCAATTCAAGTTTCAGGGCTGTAATGACTTGAGATTTGTAATGCTTAATCCTGGTTCACAGCTGAAAAAACAAGTTCACAGCTCATTCTTTTAATAGGCCTCTTCAGTGAGGAGCTGCTAACAAGTGGCGTTTGAAACAGCACAGTATAATGACTTAAGGAAGACATATTGTGTTTTTGTATACTATGTCAAGTTATAAGCTATGACACACCCATGGATCATTATGATACTGACCTAAAACGACTTAATAAAATCAACTTCTCACCTGCAGTAATCACAACAAAGTAGCTCCACATAGCTGCAGATCATGCTAGCAAGCAGCAGTTTTTTCCATTTCTGCCAAAATTCCTATATGATGCTCCAAAATCCTATGTTTATCTTTGATTACCAAAACACTATCAGAGAAAAATTTAGTAAATATAGAGTAGTGGGTAGGTACAGGTGACTGTGAAAATGGGTATAGATCAGGGCAATGATGTTTTGAATACAGGAGAATAAAGATTATTCACTCTAAATACATATTTGACAGGGTTAAAGTATAACATGGTTAAAATCTCAGAAAAGTTGATTTTACACACAAACACACGCACATGCACACGTACACGCACGCGCACACATACACACACACACACACACGTGTGACATGCATGCTTGTGCAGGCTGCACTGGGCCCAGACTAGCAGAGTAAAGTGACCCAGGAGCAGAGCCAGCAGCCACACTCTGCCAGCTGCATCCTCTGTGCACAAAAGCATGGCCTTTGAAAAGCACAAGAGCAGTGAAGCGTGAGCCACATGCATCACTGCAGACTCCGTCCACATACAGTAACACTACTACTGCACACGCTCAAACTGAACACAAAGATTTAGATGAAAATAAATGGGCCTCAAACTGAAGCAGCGGCAGAGCTCATCTGTCCTTTAGGTCTGGGTGAGTCACACATTACTGTGGAGACACTCAATTATGATTCAAATCTCCATAACGGGCCAATAAAGCCATTTGTCATGTGACCGCGCACGCTGCTTCTGCCTGAATACAAAGTCCTGTCCTGGTGGAGTGGAACATGCAGATTTATTAGTGCGTCTGTAATCGCGCAGGGTCGCAAGCCTGGATTCATTTCATTTTTCTGTGAATGTTACAGTCTCCTGGAACAGTGTGCGCTGAACAAAGCAGAGCCCTGTGTTGGTCTTTGTAACACTTTTCACATTTAAAACAATGTAAAACCGAGAGCAAAGCGCGTCAGTAATTACGGCCTGTTTCCTCTCTCTGGGATGCTCAGG